GCTTCCCATCATGTGCAGCTAGAAAAGTCTCAAAAAGCCATTTAAATGAGTCAAATGTTTCATCAAACATCAATGCCGCACCAAAAATGGTGGTTTCTCTAAACTGATTGAGTCCAAGAAAAACACCAAATGGCCTATATTCTTTGTTTGTGCCAAAAGATGTATCAAATGTGACAACATCGCCAAAGTGTGCATAGTCAAGAAGCATTTTAGCATCTGCCCAAATTTTTTTGCCACTCGATCAAGTGATATAGTCATGCGAGCTTTGCAGTTTGTTCTTGTTTCAGCTCTAACACGATTTAACTCGTGATCCATTGTTATGATTTTCTTTCGTATACCCTCATTCGAATAAACAAGTGTGCATGAAGTCACTTGACCATCCATCTTGCTTACATGTTTGTTTCTCTTCCTCAGATCAAACCCAACGCGACCCCCATATGCAACCCAAAACAGCCAAGCTTCATCCGGATTTCTAAACCTCATGCCAATTTGAGGCATCCCCTTGTCAATTTCTCCCATTGCACAATTCTTGCAAATGCACACCACTCACAATTGCATAGCACAATAATCAAATTGCGTAACACATCATCTCAATCAGCACAAGAATTCTGTCAAATAAGGCAGGAAACACATCGATCAATTCACATATGAATTCATGACAATCGAGACAATATTGATCCGGCACAATTTTTCAGTATTAACAAGCTGCCATCAGACTGGAAATTCGTGTTCAGAGTATTAACAAGCTGCCATCTAGCACAATTTTCATATACAGATTAATAGAGACAGTACTGAACAGAGAACTACCTGTTTGTCTGTTGGAGTCTGAACTGAAGTTGGCGTTCAGTTTTCTGCTGCACGGGGAGGCGCCGTGGCCGACGAGCGTTGGAGGGGGCGGAGCGAGCCGCTGGATGCGGGCGGAGGGAGCAGCCAGAGGTGGGTGAAGCGAGCCGCCGGATGAGGGCGGAGGGAGCAGACAGAGGTGGCCGGTCGCGACGGACAGCTGCCAGCACAGCGGGACGAGGAAGAGTCGCAAGGGAGCGAGGGCGCCGTCAGAGACGAGCGGAGGCCGTTTATCCGGTGGCCGCCGCGGGAGCTCCCATGCCTCCCTCCCCACGGCGGCGACGGCGGCAGAGCGAGTTCCCGCCCGCGAAGCTTTCTTCCCGCGGTTTATTTTGCCTCGCGCGTGAGGAATCGAGGACGGGGACGAGTGGAGGCCTGGTAGTTTCCGCATTGACTCTGGATAGCCGTTGGATGCACATTGGACGTTGGATTCCAGGCCTCAAGGCGCGTCGTGCCTTGACAGAGGCGAGGCACTGGATCTCAGTCCGTCTAGAGGTATCCTGGACCCGACCTCCTTGTGGAGGGACAAAACAGCGATTACAATGGGCGTCCCGGCGCCTGCTGTGCGGGTGGAAACAGTTTTGGAACTTATCTGGAAGCCGGCAGAAGATGGATGGATAAAAATTAATGCTGACGGTGCTACTTCTGCAAGCCAGGACGCTATGCTACTTGCAATGTCCAAGTATTATGCTGCTGGAGAGCCTCTGGTAATTGAAACCTTGGCTTGCATGGACGGTATGCTACTTGCAATGTCAAAGCGGTTCGCCCAAGTGGTGATTAGACCGACTGTCAAGTTGTTTGTACACTTTGGCATAGTGGGATGACCGATCCTGGTCAACTCTTCAGGGAAATGAAGTCCTATCTCCCACGTTTTACACGGATTAAAGCTTCTGTATCTCAAGAGGGAATCGAAAAACAGCGGCAGCTCATCTCTGGGCGAGGGCGGCCCTTAGCCTCGATGTTTATTTTTCTTTCGATGTAATCCCTGCTTTTCTAATTGACATTGTACAATCACTTGTGAATCCTCAAAAAAAAATGCTTCTCCTGCCATTTTAAAAAGAAAAGGAATATTTCATTTTCAAGGTATATCATTGATCAAAATGTATGCCGATAATAAATCACTTTTCAATGGGCCGCCGATTACTGATTTATCAGACAACGAACTGGCCGATTTGACAAATTATTAATCACCTAGTTACCATCGACCAATCAGTTACCAGTTGACGATTTCCTGAACATTAGTCTGCGTGTGAATTATAGGAAACTGAATGCTCACACAACAAACATATTCCCAACATCATGTAATAGAAAATTTGTTGGATGAAAAGTTACACCGTGTTCTGATTATTCATGGTGGCTGGACAGTGCAGCTCCTTAACCTTGCCTGCCTTACAAACTCGGTCTCAATTTATCATCAACATACTTAAAACAGATTGCGGTAAGAAAATAAAGCTTGGATGCAGTTTAATGTGCCGGTGCTGCCGCTGGCCCTGCCTGTAACAATAGCATACCAGATTAAGTAAGGTATAGATTGGATTGAGCAATGGCAAATTTACATGCGACACAAAAAATGGCAAGCACATATGTTCATTACACACAAACATGGCATCTGATTCAAAATTTACATCACCTCTCCAAATAAACGATGCAAAGGGTGCAGACAAGGCTATTAAAATGTCATCTGACTATGGTAGTGAACTACTAGAATAGCTTGGCTACTGTTTGATCTCACCTCGATATCTGATATCTCCACATTTTGTGTTTCCCCCACTTATTTGATTTAGCTAGTAAAATGTCAGGTGCCTCATTGAAGTTCCATCTATATCTTGATTCTATAACAAGGCCTAGGCCTAAACAGCTTACATGTGGATATGAAGATAGAAACTATTACTAACTACAGCAAAAGGCTAAAGACATGCTAGACAAAACCAATAACTGTAGGTCTGTAGCAAAACGCCAAAAGGAAATGCCAACCATCAAAGTAGACATGCAGTGTTATGGATGTGGTCAGGACCTAGGCCAGCAGTGTTAGTAGTAATCTTGTCTAGCAGGTTAAGCAATTAGTTTCTAGCTAAGTTGATTGGTCCGGCTAGGAGTTGCCTTGGGTGTGTACGCGTGTAGCTAGTAGTAGTCCATGTCCTAGGGTAGTACTAGTCCTAGTTGTTTTGTGTTACTCCCTCCTTCCATCTATATAGGGCCTAATGCGCTTTTCGAAGCTAACTTTAACCAAATATTAGAGCAATAATATATGACATGCAATTTACACAAAGCACACCGTTAAATTCGTGTATGAAAGGAGCTTTCAATGATATAATTTTCACATTGTGCATGTCATGTACTATTAATCTTGTCAATAGTCAAATGCGGTCTTAAAAAACGCATTAGGCCCTATATAGATGGAAGGAGGGAGTAGTTCTAGCTTAGGAAGTTGTATCCGACTAGGATTTGTAGTAGGTCTAGGTTGCTATAGGTCGGTTCAGGTCATGTGTAACATTGAGAGAAAAACAAAAAGCAATAACGAGGGGAGAAAACCAGAAAAATGAGAAATAAAGAGGCAAAAGAAAGGCACGACAGGTGCCTTTGGCTATAAGTTTTTGAGCGTGCGTGTTCATCGTGATTTTGATGTGATCGATCCTAAGGGCGGAGTTCCAACAAGCAGGCAGCAACAGACACACAAAGGTATGGAGCATTAGAAAATCAAGTTGTTAATAGTAGTGGGTTCGCCTTGCCAGGTGTTTTTCTATCGGTACCTGGCTACCTGCTGCAGGTTTGGGGACTTGGGGGCATGTGACAGCTTCAAAATGACTACTGATGTTAGAAATTGTGTTTGTGCAGTATAAAAACCTACCCAAAACAATCACTTGTACCATACCATCTTTATAAAAATAAATCTCGTTCTTTAGATTAAGAATACCTAGCAAGTTTAGATATAATTAACTGGAAACAAAAGAAACAAACCAACAAGGAACAAGGGCAGACATAGTGCAATTGTATCCAAAGAGTACCAAACTGTACCAATCAGGTACGTGCAATGCATTTATTTTGTAACATCGCACAAAATATATTCAATCAAATTCCAATAGTAAAAAGCATATACATATATAAAGTACTCCCTCCGATCCATATTAATTGTCGTTGATTCAGCACAACTTTGTACTAAATCAGTGACAATTAATATGGATCAAAGAGAGTACAATAACCAATGAAAAATTAGAAATCAACATGCCAAGTAACATGACCCAAACCCACGTAAAAAATGAATCATATTGTTTCACGCATGTATCTAACAACATCATGTTAATGCAAGAGAAGGACTAAAGGCAAATATGGGGAGTTACTGAAATGATCTGATTGTGCATTAGGAGAGAAAGTGAAATTATTAACTCAACTGATGCAGATTTTGCAAGAGTCAAACTTAATTCGTAAACCAATAAATAAGAATTCGATGATACATAAATGTATATTAGAAATTATGCATTTTTATTTGAGAAATCAGCAACACTTCATGTCTCCAAGAAGTATCATTGGAATTTCATATGATTAATGGTACAGTTCCTATAGCCTGAAAATGTCAAACAGCACAGGCCTGATAGTTATATAGGTGCACGATTGCTTAGAATCAATGCAGCTCACCATCCATCTCTAATGGGTACATGATTGTGTAATATCATTGCAACCTTTGTTCTTGAGTTGCCGACTAATCGCCAAGCCGGTACTGGAAAACATGGCGACTTGGCGACTAATCGCTGAGATGGAGGCATGAGGACTTGACTTGACTGGACGACTCAAAACCATCCATCCCAAGGGAGAAGGGACATGAAGTATCCAAGTATTTTGCTAGTAAAGAAAAATTCTTTGTTAGGATTGCTTGTTTCTAAGGCGGTAAGGTGAGGACCAACCGCCTTGACGCCTAAACGTCGCCTAAGCGTCCAAGGCAGGACGCCTTACAAACAATGATTGCTGCCTATTTAACTAATTGGACTCTTGCAAGAATTCCCTAGAGTAAAGGATGCCATTGGAAGGTAAGTGACAAGATAAAATAACATCAAATGACAACATCACCGCAGTTAGCTCAACAACATCTGCTAACTATGCTAACGAATTATGATACATATGAATTTATTATTTAGCACTTAACAATGTAAAATGCCGCATGGTCATGTATTGGTAACTACCAAAATAATCCTTGAAAAATTCTTGCACGATGAACTATGTACAATAACAGTGTCAATGTTTCGTACAGATAAGTAAATACCTCTGTTTTCACTTCTTTTTTCCCACCAAATGCCTTCAATCCACCATATATAATAGCGCCCCACATAGCTAAGCTGGCTAGCACAAACTGCAGAAGGTACAACAACATAATAAATAACAAAAAGCAAGAATATTGTACAGCCAAAATAAGCTATGAAAATGTATATGTTAAAAAATTGTCAGAATAGTTTAACTGAAAATCATTTATTTATATCCATATGGACAGACGTTTACAAGGCAGATAGCATGCCACAGGAACATAATGCAAAGCAAACAGTGTTAGTAAGAACACCGATTTGACTGCATGGACATGATAGGGGCTGCAGAAATATTGCTCCTCAAAAGGTACAACGATGAGAAAAGGGAAGAGGAAAATGAGCAATCTATTAAAGTGGCCAGACAAAGTCAAATTTACAATATGATCTTTTCAACAAAGATGAATGACAACAAAGGATGGGTAGCTTCTGGCCAAAGAGTAACTAGGAGGTCTAACCTGTAGTAGTTCTGTAATTACTAACAAGAGGGAGATTAAATAAAAATAATTACATTTGGACTTGCTGCACAGTAATAGCATGATATTTCAAAAGTAGTATAAAGACCTTTGGGATTAACTTTGTGATTAGTTGACCCACAAGCTCAAGGACGCCAGTAATGTACTCTACAGTACCAGATGAACAGCATTGTAGCTAAGAACGATATATCAAGTGGACACGTGAATCTTCAAAATGTTATTACATAGTACATATGAATGAGTCATTCTTGCATTTTTAAAATGCACTTGCATGGTGTTTTCCTGTAACGAATCACTAACAACTTACTAGACTTCATGCCAGTGGATGAGCCATGAGAGCTGAAAGCGAAAACATATTGTTCAGCAACCACAGAAAAGAGACACAAATTTAGTTAACCTGCATTTTGCCAACCTAACCTAAAACCTCTTGGAACCCTAAACCAATTACTGCAGTTTCTGTATAGCAGATCTTAACTGTCTGTTCCTCTTAAGCAACTCATCAATTTTCATGACAACTTCGCCTCTAGTGGTTCCTCAGAACACTGATACATGTACCTCTACATCCACTTGGAAAAATATTCAAGAACAAGACATGCATGAAGTATCCACCGTTACAGTACAAAAATATTAATCTGACTATTATATCTATGGTACGTTAAGACCATAGATGAAACAAACCTCCCTCTTTACCCCTGAACTAGGCAAGAAAAAAAAACTGCCCACACTGCACGGTTGTGACAATGGAGTTCGATTTTATGGTCTTATTGTACAGCACACATCAAATGAGATCAAAAGAAGGCGCGGAATAATCTCTGAATGAAAGCAAAAATGCAAGCAAACCCTAATTTAACATTAACAGTCTTGCTACTTGATCTATCTCAAGAAGATAACTAATGCAATACTAATAAAAAGCCTCCCTACACTTGTTGTACGCCAGGGCAATCAAGTAGAAAGCCCTCCTAATAAAGAACAAATAGAAATCAATGCTCTTTACTGCGGTGTGGGTGGGGAAAAACTCACGTGCTCTTCCTTCCAGTTGCCGGGGTTCAAGGGCTCCTGCCACATGTTCACCTTGGTCGATCCGTGGTGATCTGTTCAAGCACACAAGGCGAATCGATCGATCAAGAAAAGTACGAGACATCAATCAAGCACAAGGACGCGCCGCGCCAAAACTAGAGAGGGAAAGGCGCCCTGATTTCTGGCGGACAGCACGCTCCCCCTCCCCACCATGGACAACCAATTGCATAACCGAATCGTGGTCAACAACCGGCGACGGCCGACGCGCGACTGGCGGATCCGAACGATCCGTGTGTGCGGTTCTCGGATCTGGCAAGGGGGGGAGAAGGGGCGCATTCTCAGATCCAGACATACCTGCGGCGCCGGCCATACGGCGGCTGGAGATGAGGCGGGCGAGGGGGGAGGAGGAGGCGGAGGAGGAGGAGGCCGCCGCAAGCAGACGAGACGCCATCGCTTCGATTCGACCTAGTTGGGCGATGTGTCTGGAGAGCTGGTGGTGGTAGCGCAGGTCCTCTGTCTGAAGCCTAAATGCCGGTGGTGGTGGATACGGCCCGCTCCCCGCTCAAAGCGTTCTGGCCCTAGTTGGATCTCGAACTCCCACTAATATTGCTGCGTCCCCCTCAAAAAAAACTAATATTGCTGCGTTTGCTCAAAAAAAAAACTAATATTACTGTGATAATTCTAAAAAAACTAATATTACTCAGGTTTTTCATTTTCTTTTTTCAGAAAAAAAACACTTGCAAAACGTCGTTGCTCGCATCTATTTTGCATGTGTTGCATACTTGTCTCAGTTGGGCCCGATTGAGTAAAAACAGGCTAAAAATCAACATTTGCATGTTGTTTGGTTGCTTGTATACCCTCTAGGCTGGCTGAGGCAAAACGGAAGGTAAGTTGTTTGGTTGCGGGCTTTTTAGGCGGAAACATGAGTCAGGATGTTTGGTTACATACAACACATGTTGTTCTCGTAGAGGTGGTGAGGTTATGAGCACACAAACAGAATAAATCAGAGACACAAAATAGATAGCATAGAAACAAGTTTAGCATAGTACAAAATTTAAACAAGTAGCTTTAATCAAACTAGCACAACATAGTCCTAAACAAGCATGGACCAATTTAACTCAGAACACACAAAATCAGGCAACAAAGAGCTCTCTAGATGTTCACGGGGAAGGGTCACCGCTTCAACGCCGTCGTCGTTGAAGACGATCACCTTCAAGGTGTCGGGAGTCAACGGCTTGAAGGTGACCATGTAGTCGATCCTGATCTGGTGGTTAGCCCTGAAGCGGGCCCAACACTGATCGAGGGCGACCCTGTGTTTTATCAGCAGAACTGTGACCCTCCATACGCAGACGGTGTTTGTCTTCAGTTTGAACTCCTGAGGCATAACAGGGAAGTGCTTCATGAAGTCTAGAGTCATAGGCAAACACTCCAACTTCGAGCAAGGATCACCTTGCAGAAGTGAGTGGGGACTGCCTCCTCATGGTTGTGGTCGTAGTTCCTTTTCTTGCTGCTAGGGGGCTCCTCCTCCTTGCCCTTGTCGCCAGGCACCACCACCTCCTGCCCCTTCGTGTTCTCCATCTCGATTTGCATTATGAACAGGATAATGTTCAAAGGTTGATTAGCATTCAATCATATCGTCCAAAGCATCTATGTTTACCCACCCAAAGGCTCTACTACTTACCCACCACCGCACTCAATGAACCCTCTATGTCTCTCACTGTCATTCCTCTTCCACATCTTCATCGTCATGAACCCCATCCCCAACCCCTTCCCCTAGGGCATTGTATGGAGGGTGTTATTCCTTGGTTGTTCGCTTGGTGGTTGCACCAAGTTCAGAACACCATGGAGGTATGCTCTAACTTCACCAGCATCGACGACATGCATAGGGAGATGGACGCTATGGTAAAGAAGGCGACGGAAGAGGAGCTGAAGACGTTGATTCCTGATCCAGTCAAAGGCACTATGTTAGTGGACATACCACGTTGGGCGACCGATAAGGCTGAGTCCGACGATGCTGGTTAGAGAGCCAGATGGGCCAAGTACAAACAGTACATGGCTTGTTGAAAGGATCAAGAAGAGGTGTCTAGAGGGGGGTGAATAGACTCTTAGCAAGAAAAGTTGCAGTTTTTAATTTCTTTAAGTTGAAGTGGAGTTTTGGCACAAGTTTAAACATTCACAATACATATCAAGCAAGCATGACAAGAGTATATGAGCAGCGGAAAGTAAATCATGCAAGTTGCAAGAATGTAAAGGGATGGGATTGGAGTGTGCAAACGCAATTGGAGACACGGAGATTTTTGGCGTGGTTCCGATAGGTGGTGCTATCGTACATCCACGTTGATGGAGACTTTGATGTCAACTACACAACCTTCTTCTTGTAGACGTTGTTGGGCCTCCAAGTGTAGAGGTTTGTAGGACAGTAGCAAATTTCCCTCAAGTGGATGACCTAAGGTTTATCAATCTGTAGGAGGTGTAGGATGAAGATGGTCTCTCTCAAGCAACCCTGCAACCAAATAACAAATAGTCTCTTGTGTCCCCAACACACCCAATAAAATGGTAAATTGTATAGGTGCACTAGTTCGGCGAAGAGATGGTGATACAAGTAGTATATGGATGGTAGATAAAGGTTTTTGTAATCTTAAAATATAAAAACAGCAAGGTAACTAATGATAAAAGTGAGCGTAAACTATATTGCAATGCGTGGAAATAAGGCCTAGGGTTCATACTTTCGCTAGTGCAAGTTCCCTCAACAATACTAACATAATTGGATCACATAACTATCCCTCAACATGCAACAATGAGTCACTCCAAAGTCACTAATAGCGGAGAACGAACGAAGAGATTATGGTAGGGTACGAAACCACCTCAAAGTTATTCTTTCCAATCAATCCGTTGGGCTATTCCTATAAGTGTCGCAAACAGCCCTAGAGTTCGTACTAAAATAACACCTTAAGACACAAATCAACCAAAACCCTAATGTCACCTAGATACTCCAATGTCACCTCAAGTATCCGTGGGTATGATGATTATACGATATGCATCACACAATCTCAGATTCATCTATTCAACCAACACATAGGACCTCAAAGAGTGCCCCAAAGTTCCTACTGGAGAATCACGACGAAAACGTGTGCCAACCCCTATGCATAGGTTCATGGGCAGAACCCGCAAGTTGGTCACCAAGACATACACCAAGTGAATCACGTGGTATCCCATTGTCACCACAGATACGCACGGCAAGACATACATCAAGTGTTCTCAAATCTTTAAAGACTCAATCCGATAAGATAACTTCAAAGGGGAAACTCAATTCATTACAAGAGAGTAGAGGGGGGAAGAAACATCATAGGATCCAAATATAATAGCAAAGCTCGCGATACATCAAGATCGTAACACCTCAAGAACACGAGAGAGAGAGAGAGAGAGAGAGAGAGAGATCAAACACATAGCTACTGGTAGATACCCTCAGCCCCGAGGGAGAACTACTCCCTCCTCGTCATGGAGAGCACCGGGATGATGAAGATGGCCACCGGAGAAGGATTTCCCCCTCCGGCAGGGTGCCGGAACGGGTCTAGATTGGCTTTCGGTGGCTACGGAGACTTCTGGCGGTGGAACTCCCGATCTATTGTGCTTACGGATGTTTTTAGGGTATATGGAGATATATAGGCGGAAGAAGTACGTCAGGGGGGGGCACGAGGGGTCCATGAGGGTGGAGGGCGCGCCCCCCTGCCTCGTGGCCTCCTCGCAGGTCCCCCGACGTGCACTCCAAGTCTTTTGGGCTTCTTTCCTTCCAAAAATGAGTTCCGTGAAGTTTCAGGTCAATTGGACTCCGTTTGATTTTCCTTTTCATCGAAACCCTAAAACAGGGTAAAAACAGAAACTGGCACTGGGCTCTGGGTTAATAGGTTAGTCCCAAAAAATGATATAAAAGTGTATAATAAAGCCCATAAACATTCAAAACAGTAGATAATATAGCATGGAGTAATCAAAAGTTATAGATACGTTGGAGACGTATCAACATCCCCAAGCTTAATTCCTGCTCGTCCTCGAGTAGGTAAATGATAAAAGAAATAATTTTTGATGTGGAATGCTAGTTGGCATAATTTCAATGTAATTTTTCTTAATTCTGGTATGAATATTCAGATCCGAAAGATTCAAGACAAAAGTCCATATTAACATAAAAATGATAATACTTCAAGCATACTAACTAAGCAATCATGTCTTCTCAAAATAACATGGCCAAAGAAAGTTCATCCCTACAAAATCATATAGTTTAGTCATGTTTCATTTTCGTCACACAAGAATGCTCTCATCATGCACAACCCCGATGACAAGCCAAGCAATTGTTTCATACTTTAGTAATGTCAAACCTATAAACTTTCACGCAATATATGAGCGCGAGCCATGGACATAGCACTATAGGTGGAATAGAATATAATGAGGGGGGTTATGTGGAGAAGACAAAAAAAGAAAAAGTCTCACATCAACGAGGCTAATCAATGGGCTATGGAGATGCCCACCGATTGATGTTAATGCAAGGAGTAGGGATTTCCATGCAACGGATGCACTAGAGCTATAAATGTATGAAAGCTCAACAAAAGAAACTAGTGGGTGTGCATCCAACTTGCTTGATCATGAAGACCTAGAGCACTTGAGGAGGCCCATTGTTGGAATATACAAGCCAAGTTCTATAATAAAAAATTCCCACTAGTATATGAAAGTGATAACATGAGAGACTCTCTACTGTGAAGATCATGGTGCTACTTTGAAGCACAAGTGTGGTTAAAGGATAGTAACATTGTCCCTTCTCTCTTTTTCTCTCATTTCTTTTTTTTTTTGTTTTTTTGGGCCTTCTCTTTTTTATGGCATTTTTTTATTCCTCACTTGGGACAATGCTCTAATAATGATGATCATCACACTTCTATTTATTTACAACTCAATGATTACAACTCGATACTAGAACAAAGATGACTATATGAATGCCTCCGGCGGTGTACCGGGATTGCGATGAATAAAGTGTGACATGTATGAAAAATTATGGACGGTGGCTTTGCCACAAATACGATGTCAACTACATGATCATGCAAAGCAATATGACAATGATGATGTGTGTCATAATAAAAGGAATGGTGGAAAGTTGCATGGCAATATATCTCGGAATGGCTATGGAAATGCCATAATAGGTAGGTATGGTGGCTGTTTTGAGGAAGATATAAGGAGGTTTATGTGTGACAGAGTGTATCGTATCACGGGTTTTGGATGCACCGGCGAAGTTTGCGCCAACTCTCAATGTGAGAAAGGGCAATGCACGGTACCGAAGAGGCTAGCAAGGATGGAAGGGTGAGAGTGCGTATAATCCATGGACTCAACATTAGTCATAAAGAACTCACATACTTATTGCAAAAATATACAAGTCATCAAAAACCTCGGCACTACGCGCATGCTCCTAGG